TGATGGTAAAGGTATTTATTTATTGGCAAAGATATCCATATTGTTCACTGAAAAAAAAGGCATGTTTTACGACTTATATTTCCTTCCACCCTCACACTTTGTTATATATCTATGCATCTATAGATGCATAGAAAAAAAATCCATGGATATTCACTATGGTGTTAATATCTATTATCTCTGTGTGGTGGGATCATGGATGCCATTATTCGTTTGTTTCTCTATATTCTCCAATTTTCGTACAATGAAAGTGAATCGAAAGACAGTTTTTGTTTATGGTTTTGTTTTTGTTTTTAACAGGGGAGTCCTTTAAGAAGAAGAAATATAGCAGACCATTCTGAGCCATTCCAAGTCCTGTTTTGCTCATGGGCAGAATAAACGATATGATCTTTGACTTGCTTGCTTTCTCAGTATTTCATATATAATTTATGTTTTTCTCCTAGACAACTGTGTCTCACTGCTGATTTTCTTACCCTTTTTCATTTATATCACCTGCCTTTATAAAAGAAACTGCCAAATACAGGCTTGGAGTTGTCTATTATTCCCAAACAGCTGTACGATTGATCAGTGCCCAGACAGCTCTGCTAAAATCTGCCCTTTTAATTTTCATCAAAAAACTCTGCTTCTGAGAATCCCTCTCCTCAATTCTCTACCCCTCTCCACAACTGCAAGGTGTCAGTGGATACTTAAAACCACAGGATGAATACGGTTTATCTCCCTGGAGCATTTATTTTACTCAAATGTTGGAAGGAGAAGATGTTATTATTAAAGGAACATAAGTCATTATATGATGCAGTCAAATTGAAAATTCCCATCAATTAAAAAAATAAAGTAGGTGACTTCAAATAATTTAAAGCTCCTATGACTTATGGCAGGCCTTTTCACTCAGGACCTTGGAATTCTGGAGGCTCGAGTCCCTTTCTTCTCTACCTTTAAGGATTCTCCAGTGGACAAGTTTGAGAGGCAGGGATCTAAGACATTCCCGTTTCATTGCTCCTCTGTTAGCCATTCATTCTTCTACATCGTACAAAATGAGCCCTCACCCTCAGAAAGATGCCCTTCAGACGGCCATCTTCTGCCCAGAACTATATATTACAGTACAATGTTTAAGCCATGGTGTTCTTCTAAACATTGGCATTTGAAACATGTATAACTCAAGATGCAAAAGTTAAAGGGAAAGAAAGTGATTATGGCACAGAATTTATAGGCCAACCAATTCCTTAGCAATCGGACCTCTCCACAAAGTGGGCCCTGGAGGTGATCACAACCAGAGACGGGCTTCTTTCAGGAGCAATTCAAAATGTATAAAGCCTTAAGCTGTATCCATTAAAAAGAATGACACCCAATAGAATAAAGACACATGAACAAAAAATCTTGGCAAAAGGGTTTAAGATTAGACGATTTTAAACATATTGTCATTTATAGCACCCAAGAAGCCCAGTGCCCTAAGTGAGTTTTAGTATGTGCACAAAAACACATTTGTCTCCCTTGAGGTCATTCAAATGGACTGTAATGAAAACAGTCTCAATTATAAAAAGTTAATTTACAATAATGGGAGGTTGACTCGTAAGACCAGAAAGTTTTGAAAGAAAGGAGTGGTAACTGGTAAACCAATTTTCCTCTGATAAATGTTTATTTGATTATTATGCAAACATTTTATCATGTCCCTAACGTTTAAGGCCTTCCTTAAATGGAGTGGACCTGTTTTCTCAATAGCTAGAACACTGGCATCTATTCCTAGGTGGGAGAATCATTGTAATGGAGCATGCATATTTAACAATGGTACAGTAGTGGTTTTTAATTATCACTTCACAGGGTCACTTTCAAATATAAACCATTTTCTTTGACTATTCCAGGGATATTTGGTTTACCTGTTTAGTTTTGGGCTCTCTGCTGTGTCTGATTTGGTTAAAATCAACCCAAGGCCCCCAAATCACCTCATTTGAAAGCAGCAGGAAGGCAGTGATTACATAGAACCCTGCCTTGCCAATGCAAGCCCTCAGGAAAGGTGTACTGAATTAATTTGCTGACTTATAAACATAAGTTTTTGAGAGGGGCAGAGTGGGGACATGCCATTGAAAGCAACCTCATCTAACTACTTAGAAAGTGCATTAATGGATCTCTTTAGCTAAACAGCAATAAGACTACAAGACTTGAATCAACAAGCCAACTAATTCCATTGCAGGGTTCTCAGAGCCAACATGAAATAATATTTGGAAGAGTCCTTGAGATAAGCCAGGAAATAATCAGTTTTTATACTGTGCATTGTATAGCAGAGGCACTCTCATGTTTGATGACTGTAATGGTGACAATAAACACGATCCTTTGATCACCTACAATACAGGTGCAGCGCTATCCAATTCAATTCATCCAGCAAACATTCAGTTAGGTGTTCTAAGGCACTAGGAATACAATAGTGAGCAAACAAAAACAAAAATTGCTGCTTTCCTGTTATTTTCTAGCTGGAGTGGAGAAAATGTTAGCTTAAATACTGGGGGTGCCCCCCCCAAAAAGTGTATACACATGACTTGTATTCATCTTTTGTTATCATTATACAGTAAATTTTGGATTCTAAGTAACTTGGTTTGCGAGTATTACGCAAGACGAGCAAACATTTCTAATATATTTTAATGTGGTAAACGAGCAATGTCTTGCAATACGAATATTGAATACGAACAAATTGTGCTCCAAACCAAGGTATTATTGAATATTGAGTGTTACAATTTGAATACAGTTTTCCTTTATTAAAATGTGTATACTTTTTTTGCACCCTCTGTATATAGCATGTAAGTGGTAAATGCTTAGGAGAAAAATAAAGCGGGAAGAGGGTATGAAATGTTGAAGGGGAGTTAAAAATGCAGATAGAGTGACCAAGGAAGAAATCCCTGGGAGGGTAACATTTAGTAAAGATTTAAAGAAAGTGCAAGTGCAAGCCATACAGGTGTCTAAAGGAAAAGCATTCTAGACAACAGTAACAGCATGTACAGAGGCCCTGAGGCAGGAGTTTCCAGGAACAGCAAAAAGGCCACTGTGGCTGGACATATGGCGATGAGAGAAATAAGAGTGGAGAGGGCGCAGAAGCCCTGGTAGGTCACAGTTACGATGCCATCTCTATTGAGAGAGGTGGGATGTGATTAGGGTTTTGAGCAGAGGAGTGACATGACCTAACTTTGGTATTAACAGTCTCACTCTGGCTGTTCTGTGGAAAACAGACAGCAGGGGAGCAAGGACAGAGTAGGAAGAGAAGCTCTTTTTTTTTTAAAGGCAGAGTCTGGAGTTTGCCGTTTTAACAAGGTCACTAGGTGATTCTTATGCTCAGTAAAATTCAAGCAGTGCTACCTTAAATTATCTAAGCAATTGAGACAAAAATCGATTTTACAATCTGCCTATTTCATAATCACTAACCCACTGCTTCATTTTACCTGTGGAGATATTGGGTCTAAGTCATTGGACTAAACTGGCCATGCAATCTCCAAACTTCAGAAAGAGAGCTCCAAAGGGACGTTGGTCTCTGGCTCTGTGACACAGGATACCCCATGAGAGAGATCCCTTCTCTACAGAGAAGGAGACTAGAGCTAATGCCATCATGCAGTAGCGGTGTATTTGATAAGGTTGCAGAGCATGTGTTCCATAAATATAAGTCTCAGGATTCACTGAAACAGAGCATATGGCCAGAGAATTTTCTAAATTTTTTTCATTTAGCTTTTTTTTTTTTTAAAGATTTTATTGGGGAATTGGGGGAGGGGAAAAGCATTGGGGAATCAGGGAAGGGAAAAAGATGAGTTGCTGTCCTTTTGTTCTTCAGTCTAGTTGTGGAGGACGTCGCTTCACTGGCCCATGTTGGTATTATCATTACACTCTTCCTGAGTGAGGTAGATTGCTCACCTGCCACTAGATGGCTGCTCACGCCTGCTTCCAGCCACACACAGTAGCTTACTGCAGCCCACTGCAGCCCCACTGCAGCCTATGCCGTCGCCGGTGACTCACAGCAGCCCAGCTCCAGGCCGAGCTGTTGTTCACCATCTTAGCTGTAGAGGGCGCAGCATCACTGGCCCTCATGTGGGATCCGAACCAGGGACCTGCTGCTCAGAGCTGGCGTCTCAAACCAGCTCTTAACCAACATGTTACTCGGCCGGCCCTCATTTACTTTTTAAATGGAAGTTAGTGAGTATTTGTGTCTTATTCTAAATATATATATATTCTACATATATTCTATACTAATATATATTCTAAATTTTTATTAAAATATATTCTATAAATATATATATCAAAATAAAATTAATGATTACTGCTTTTTAAATACACTAATAGAAATTTAAATTCACAAAATTTTCACATTTTTTTATCTTAATACTAGCAGTTAGCATTTGTGTAGCACTTTACACTCAGATAACAACGAGACCCAGTTTCATGCACAAAATTTCTTTCTACTTTATAGTCACCCTACACACACCACTATACCTTAACTAGTTCATAATCTATTTAAGAATAGATATGGTCTTTAATTTCTTTCTCTATTTCTTGTATATGCCTCTGAATTATTTTCTATGCCGCCTCCAAATTCTGTACGCCACATGCACAAGGTAACTGCTTACCTGGCCACTGACTAAGCCACCTAGAAAATGCAATGCTGAGAATTAATTATCAGATATTTTGCTCCTCTATTTACTTGACTTCTTTGGCTCTGTCAAAAACAAAATTTAAAAATTCCAAGAGGATAAAACCTTTATAATTGAGAGAGACATAAGTATATTAAAGTGGATTTATTGGATCTATGTACAATTTTTCACAAGAACATTTACACCCTGCCACTGTTTTTCCTTGGGCACATTTTTCTCTAAGGTATTTCATCATTAAGGCCTAATTTAACATGAATTTTTATAAAGGCAAGTAATGAATTTAATTTCTAAAAAGCCTTCATTACCAGTGTGATCCCTTACCCAGGTACAGGTTATTCTTTTGAACAGATAGGTAATTAGCCACAAATAATGGATACCGATTACCTTCTTGAGTGGAAGACGCCTCTAGGTGTTGAAGTTTCAGGCCGTTGTCTAATCTTTGAGGCTTCGTGTACAGAAATAAATAGCAAAGGACACAGACGCTGATGACGAAGGCAAGTAAAATAAGGGCAGCAATCCCCAATCCAGTCAGGGCACCAACGCTGAGGAAAAGAGAGGAAAAATGTGACTGTCACACAGACTGGTTGACATCGGAACTAAAAAGGTTTAAATAGTGTTAACTCTTGCTTCAATCGTTCATAGCCAAATTACATTTTAGTATAAACGGTATGTGATTGAAAGCTACAGTTTGCCTCTTTGTATCATCAAATTCTTATTATATTTTCTCTATACATGTATATGCATATGTTATGATCACTATAGAATATCATGTGATTTTATATGACAGGTAAAAGGTCACATGATTCCCTAGGGATAGTTCAAAGACATCTCAATCAAATACACCTCTGTTATTAATATATTGTAAGTGGTAAGATCAGGCCCACCGATAAAAGATGACTAAAAAAGTATTTACGTCTTCAAAAGTAGTGAAGCAAATGTTTAGCAGAAATGTAGAACTTTTCATTGCGAACATGTATGGGAGATATTGTTTACTAATATACAAAACCACAACTATTACAAAAGAGAAGTTTAATGAAAGGAAAGCTATAGTTATGAAATTCATATAAAGTTCCTATTCAGTCTAAGTTTCTGCTTTCAAAACAGCATAACACCAATGATTTCTAGCATTAAGTAAGAAACCCTTGTACTTTTCTTTAAAAATAGAGTTTGTATCTAATAATATTTTCGCTGCACTGAATTTGTAATAATCCCTTCTGATACAGTTATAAGGCTAATCATTTGAGAAATAATATAGTTTACATAAACCTGTGGACTTAATACTTTTAAATGGGAAATGGGGCTTGAAAAAAAGAATTATCTTGAAAGACAAATATGCAAATGTACTTTACTTTCATGAACCACATGTATGTGTGGGTGTATATATATATATATGTGTGTGTGTATATATACGTATATATATATATATACGTATACACACACACACACACACACACACAATTAGATTTTAAGCTGCTCAAGACCAGATACTTCTGTTGAATTTCCCATAGTGCTGTGCACACTTACTTAAAGTGTTTAATAGAGTACTTAGCTTGTAGTAAATGTTCCATAAATAGCAGTAAATAATAATTTACTGGTGTCTGATCCACTTGTAGTAATTGAAAAGTCATCATCATTGAAAAGCAATGATTTTTTCCTTCATTATTTTCCTGGCTTGACTGTAGGCTTCTGCTATTTCCCAGAGATTAGAGCCCTGACAAGTTTGACATGTACCAAAACGGAGGGAAGAGAGAATTTGAGCAGGGATGCCGGCTGTGTCATTGCTTTGGGGATAAGGAGAACAGAGTTAAAAGTGAGGGGCTAAGCTCATCCAGTGTATTCTTGTTTTAAGGCGATAAATCACCCTTGCAATTCAGAGATTGCCTCCTGAGCCATAGATGTGGAGTTCAACTTCCAGAGATCCTTGGGCTTGATTTATTAATGTCAGCCCAGTTCCTCTATCCCTGCACACAAGTGAAGGTTGAGTGGCTAGAGTCAGTATGTAGTTATATATTTAAAATGGAGTTTGCCCTCACGTGGTTCACTGTCTTCCAAGGGGTAGACTCCTGGCTCTGGCAACTCCTCTTTCATGCTTGTTTGCACCAAACTTGATTTTTGTAGATCATACATGTCAGGGAGGGGTTAGGACTTTACACAGACACATGGGAACATAATCCACTTAATTAATATTATCTGCTGTACAAGGCTTCTAGGAGGCCACACATCTGGAAAGATTTCTAAAATGAAAACCTGGCTATTAAAAAAATCTTCAGAAACTAATACTGATACAGATTTATTTGTGCCAACATCCTCTTCATCCCAGTTGCCTGTTACTATAGAGAGTACAGGTATATTACAACAAAACACAAATAACTTGACTACTTCTAGTGGGCAAGTCCATTCTTCAGATCTTCAGGGAAATTATATCCAGTCGCCTGTTTCTGAAGAGACACAGGCTCAGAATATTCAGGTTTCTACAGCACAGCCTGTTGTACAACATCTATAACTTCAAGAGTCTCAGCAGCCAACCAGTCAAGCCCAAATTGTGCAAGGTATTACACTACAGACAATCCATGGTGTGCAAACCAGTGGTCAAAATATATCACAACAGGCTTTGCAAAATCTTCAGTTGCAGTTGAATCCTGGAACCTTTTTAATTCAGGCACAGTGACCCCTTCTGGACAGATAACTTGGCAAACCTTTCAAGTACAGGGTGTCCAGAACTTGCAGAATTTGCAAATACAGAATAACTGCTGCCCAACAAATAACTTTGATGCCTGTTCAGACACTCACGCTTGTTCAAGTTGCAGCAGGTGGACCCTTGACTTCAACTCCAGTTAGTCTAAGCACTGTTCAGTTGCCAAATCTACAGACAGTTACAGTGAATTCTATAGATTCTACTGGTATACAGCTACACTCAGGAGAGAATGCTGACAGTCCTGCAGATATTAGGATCAAGGAAGAAGAACCTGATCCTGAAGAGTGGCAGCTCAGTGGTGATTCTACTTTGAATACCAATGATCTAACACACTTAAGAGTACAGGTGGTAGATGAAGAAGAGGACCAAAACATCAAGAAGGAGAAAGACTTCGGAGGGTAGCTTGCACCTGTCCCAACTGTAAAGAAGGTGGTGGGAGAGGTACCAATCTTGGAAAAAAGAAGTAACACATTTGTCATATACCAGAATTTGGTAAAGTCTATGGGAAGACCTCACATCTGAGAGCTCACCTGCATTGGCATTCTGAGGAACGCCCTTTTGTTTGTAACCGGATGTTCTGTGGTAAAAGATTTACTCGAAGTGATGAATTACAGAGGCACAGAAGAACACATACAGGTGAGAAGAAATTTGTTTGTCCAGAGTGTTCAAAACGCTTTATGAGAAGTGACCACCTTGCTAAACATATTAAAACACACCAGAATAAAAAAGGTATTCATTCTAGCAGTACAGTGCTGGCATCTGTGGAAGCTGCACGAGATGATACTTTGATTACTGCAGGAGGAACAACACTTATCCTTGCAAATATTCAACAAGGTTCTGTTTCAGGGATAGAAACTGTTAATAATTCCACCACCAGCAATCAAGATATCCTTACCAACACTGAAATACCTTTACAACTTGTGACAGTTTCTGGAAATGAGACAATGGAGTAAATATTACACAATTACTTATTCATTGTGATTAATTTTATACAGTAGTGAGAAGAATATTGTTCCTAAGTTCTTAGATATCTTTTTATTGATGTGCAAAAATTTTTGGATTGACAGTAACTTGGTTATACATGACACTGAAATGCCTTACTTTGTATGATATTCCATAGTATATTAAAAATGGTAAAATTGCATGGGTTTTGTAGGTACTTTTGGAATCTAGAAGAAGTGAAATTTTACCAAGTTATATAAAGAGAAAATTGAATTTAACATTGCAAATAGTAGTCTAACCAAATGCATCAATCCTGTGTGGTTTAGTGTAAAAATGAGAACATGTTGGTATTTATCTATTGTAAGACAAAAAAAGTTGGTGGGTGAAAGAAATCATGTTATGATAAAAAAAATTTTGTAATTTTCTTGATGACTGGAATTTTTATTATGCATAACTGGCAAATCAAGTTTCCAAGCAAATGTTACATAGTGTAGGCTTTATTTAGCGTATCAATTTGTCATTTTGAAGCTAATTATTTTAATTAGGTTAACTATGTACAATATTTTAAGCATTACTCTTGTAAGATTTTGAAAACTACATTTTAATATGGAACTCTAGGTATGAGTCACCTTTTAAATCCTGTTGAAAAGCCATGTTTAAGATTTAATTTGCCAAAATAATGTCTTGTTAATATTCTTTCAATAACCAAGTTGGGCAATATAACCAATGTTTAAAAAAGTTTAAAATCTATAGGCTGAGGCATTTGGGTGGTAAGAAAATGTTATAGCGAAATACCCCCTTTCTTGCATATTGGAGGACCAAAAAAATAAGGTGTATTGCGTCTTAGCAGTGATTTTTTTTATCCAATCTTGTTTCCATAAACCATGTCTGCCAGGGCCTTAAAAGCCATCATGTAAATTACCAGTAAAGTATAACATATGCAAAGATAATAAGATCACTTCCATAGTGACAATACTCCAACTATATGGATATTAGTCATAGAAAACTAGCGGTTTTATGATTTTTTTTAACTCTTTTTTTTTTTTGTCTAGGTAGTCAGTCTGCACTTAAATAATCAACCATTTTCCTTTTTTGCTTCTTCCCTTAAAATTTATATGTATTCAGTACATTTAATTGAGAAACATATGTTTTTTATTACGCTGTATTCTTTTTATTTTTAAATTATTGTTTATATTTTCAATTATTAAAAATGTACAAAATAAAGTTTCATTGCTGGTCTTGTAAGAGCTATACAGTTTTCCTAAATGTATACCTATAACTGCAGCAGTTCACCTATTTCAAAAATTTTGATTCTGTTCATTTGTTATTCTAAGACCACCTCAAATTTAAAGGCTACCTTATTGTACGTTTAAAGTGTATTATAACAGTGTGGTAGTTAATAAAACACTATTTTTTTTTTCTTTTGAGTTTGTTGTATTCCTATGCATTTGAAATGCAGTGGTATGGGGTAAGAAAATCTGTATGGTTTATTTTCCTTCAAATAAGCCTTTTATTTGCAGATTGTTGATTTCAAACATCAAAATTATCTTAAACAGGTATATTTACTTAGAAAGGGAAGGATAGAGGCACCAGCAGATTACTACGTTTTCACCTAAAAATAAGTATATTAAATAAAGCTTTTGAAAAAAATCTTTTAACTCTAAGCCCACATTGAGTCATATCAGTTTTATCAGTGCCATTTTGCAAACCTTGTTTTTTTGTTTGTTCCAACTGTTAAAGCAATGCAGAATATTTTGATTTATCAGTAACTTGAATTTTCATGAAGATTCTTGAAACTGATAACATAAGACAAGCTTTGTAACAATAGCAAGAGTTATTCAGAAAGGTTATATTTTGAATTTGTGTATGTCTAATGATAAAGGCAGGAAAGGAGGAAAGGAAAAATTAACAGTATTAACATGACTGTTTTAGATGTTTTTAAATTAAAAATTCAATAATTCTGCACATGTAATACAGTGGGGGCAAAGATTTCCATATTCTTTTTCTAGGCTCAATCTGACACTTGTCAATAATATCTTTGAATGCATAGGACAACTCTAGTTACACATATAAACATAAAGTTTTTCTTGGGCCAGCCGAGTGGCATGTTGGTTAAGAGCTGGCTTGGGACGCCAGCTCTGAGCAGCAGGGCCCCGGTTTGGATCCCACATGAGGGCCAGTGACACTGCGCCCTCTACAGCTGAGATGGTGAACAACAGCTTGACCTGGAGCTGGGCTGTCCTGAGTCGCTGGCGATGGCGTAGGCAGCAGTGAAGCTGCAGTGGGCTGTCATAAGCTACCGTGAGTGGCTGGCAGCCAACGTGAGCTGCCAAGAGCCGCCGTGAGCGGCCGTCCAGAGGCCGGCGACTAATCTGCCTCACCTGGGAAGAGCGCAATGATAATACCAACATGGGCCAGTGAAGC